AATTTGCCAATCTTGGTGTTCTCTGGCAAATGCCAAATGTCCTGCACGGTGTTGGGCTGTAAGCACAACCCCCACCTGTGGACGTCGGGCCCTCATACCACCCTCATGGAGTCTGTTTCTGACCGTTTGAGCAGACACATGCACATTTGTGGCCTGCTGGAGGTCATTTTTCAGGGCTCTGGCAGTGTTCCTCCTGCTCCTCCTTGCACAAAGGCGGAGGTAGCGGTCCTGCTGCTGGGTTGTTGCCCTCCTACGGCCTCCTCCACGTCTCCTGATGTACTGGCCTGTCTCCTGGTAGCGCCTCCATGCTCTGGACACTATGCTGACAGACACAGCATACCTTCTTGCCACAGCTCGCATTGATGTGCCATCCTGGATGAGCTGCACTACCTGAGCCACTTGTGTGGGTTGTAGACTCCGTCTCATGCTACCACTAGAGTGAAAGCACCGCCAGCATTCAAAAGTGACCAAAACATCAGCCAGGAAGCATAGGAACTGAGAAGTGGTCTGTGGTCACCACCTGAAGAACCACTTCTTTATTGGGGGTGTCTTGCTAATTGCCTATAATTTCCACCTGTTGTCTATTCCATTTGCACAACAGCATGTGACATTTATTGTCAATCAGTGTTGCTTCCTAAGTGGACAGTTTGATTTCACAGAAGTGTGATTGACTTGGAGTTACATTGTGTTGTTTAAGTGTTTCCTTTATTTTTTTGAGCAGTGTATATATTTCCCTTTATTACTTTCCAACCCCACCACCCCTTCCCTAACTGGAGTAAACTAGTGAACAACAATGCTTAGGCCTCTACTTCCAGCTTATACATACTATTTACATTTTATGGACACAGTCAATTTATGGTTTAGGCCTATGGAAAACCAACACTCGATCCCTCTGATGTCAACAAATACAGACCAGTATCCCTTCTTTCTTTTCTCTCCAAAACTATTGAGCGTGCCGTCTTTAGCCAACTCTCTTGCAATCTCTCTCAGAATGACCTTCTTGATCCAAACCAGTCAGGTTTCAAGACTGGTCATTCAACTGAGACTGCTCTTCTCTGTGTCACGGAGGCTTTCCGCACTGCTAAAGCTAACTCTCTCTCCTCTGCTCTTGTCCTTCTAGACCTGTCTGCTGCCTTTGATACTGTGAACCATCAGATCCTCCTCTCCACCCTCTCCGAGCTGGGCATCTCCGGCGCGGCTCACTCTTGGATTGCGTCCTACCTGACCGGTCGCTCCTACCAAGTGGCGTGGCGAGAATCTGTCTCCGCACCACGTGCTCTCACCACTGGTGTCCCCCAGGGCTCAGTTCTAGGCCCTCTCCTATTCTCGCTATACACCAAGTCACTTGGCTCTGTCATATCCTCACATGGCCACTCCTATCATTGCTACGCTGACGACACACAACTAATCTTCTCCTTTCCCCCTTCTGATAACCAGGTGGCGAATCGCATCTCTGCATGTCTGGCAGACATATCAGTATGGATGACGGATCACCACCTCAAGCTGAACCTTGGCAAGACGGAGCTGCTCTTCCTCCCGGGGAAGGACTGCCTGTTCCATGATCTCGCCATCACGGTTGACAACTCCGTTGTGTCCTCCTCCCAGAGTGCGAAGAGCCTTGGCGTGACCCTGGACAACACCCTGTCGTTCTCCGCTAACATCAAGGCGGTGACCCGATCCTGTAGGTTCATGCTCTACAACATTCGGAGAGTACGACCCTGCCTTACACAGGAAGCGGCACAGGTCCTAATCCAGGCACTTGTCATCTCCCGTCTGGATTACTGCAACTCGCTGTTGGCTGGGCTCCCTGCCTGTGCCATTAAACCCCTACAACTCATCCAGAATGCCGCAGCCCGTCTGGTGTTCAACCTTCCCAAGTTCTCTCACGTCACCCCCCTCCTCCGCACACTCCACTGGCTTCCAGTTGAAGCTCGCATCTGTTACAAGACCATGGTGCTTGCCTATGGAGCTGTGAGGGGAACGGCACCTCCGTACCTTCAGGCTCTGATCAGTCCCTACACCCAAACGAGGGCATTGCGTTCATCCACCTCTGGCCTGCTGGCTCCCCTTCCTCTGCGGAAGCATAGTTCCCGCTCAGCCCAGTCAAAACTGTTCGCTGCTCTGGCACCCCAATGGTGGAACAAGCTCCCTCACGACGCCAGGACAGCGGAGTCACTCACCACCTTCCGGAGACATTTGAAACCCCACCTCTTTAAGGAATACCTGGGATAGGATAAAGTAATCCTTCTACCCCTCCCTTACCCCAACCCACCCCCAAAAATAAAAATCACATTGTAAAGTGGTTATCCCACTGGCTATAAGGTGAATGCACCAATTTGTAAGTCGCTCTGGATAAGAGCGTCTGCTAAATGACGTAAATGTAAAAGTAAATGTTTGCGTATTTTCCGTTATTGGCCCTATCTATTTTGTTAAAACTTGTTTCCGCCCGGTTTCGAACCGGGGACCTTTCGCGTGTGAGGCGAACGTGATAACCACTACACTACGGAAACTGAAAGCAATATGAACGGAGGTATGATTTTGGCTGGGTGGGGTGTTCGTCGTGCTCAGAGAGCCTAATGAAGTTAGAAATTGCTTAGTTTATTACAATTGCATCGCCACTGTTTTTTTGAAGAAACGTCCAAGACGGTTCTATTTATGTATAGTGTAGGCCAGGGATCATCAACTACATTCAACCGTGGGACGATGTTTTTATTGAGCGGATGGTTAGGGGGCAGGAACATAATTACACATAATTTGTAGACTGCAAATTCACCGCAAGAAGCCCAAACAGATATAATACTTGACTAAAATAAAATAATTTCAAACCTTGCATACATTTGTATACGATCACATATATCTCTATTATGCGTGTGAATCCTTTGGAATACAGATTTCACACATTTAAATAACTTGAAGATGATTTGCTGGTGTTTTTACAAACTTTTATGTACAACAATTTTAATTAAAACATTTTTAAAAACTTGGGGGGGCAAATGACTTCACTCTGGGAGATGGGAAATCCTAACGTAGGTTAATTTTTTTCCGTTATTGGCCCTATCTATTTTGTTAAAACATGTTTCCGCCCGGTTTCGAACCGGGGACCTTTCGCGTGTGAGGCGAACGTGATAACCACTACACTACGGAAACTGACAGAAGACAGCTATAGTGGGCAAGATTTGGAGTGGCCAAAACCCTACCACCCATTATATCCTAAATGAGCACAAAGTAAATACTGTATGTCTACTAAACTGTGTTTTCGCCTTGTCTCGAACCAGGGACCTTTCACAGGGACAAACAGACAGATTACTTGGATCTTCCTCTCAGAGTGCAAGTACTTTAGTCCCTTCAGTATTTACCTCAGTATGATGGCGATATAGGTATATTCTAGAGGCCCAGGATGTAGCTGAAGAGAGAGAAGTAGAGAGATAATACACTGACAATAATTGTTCTGTAAGAGAAGAGCCTTCAATTCAATTTTACTTATCCCCTCAGGAGCCATTGTTTTTACCAGGTCCAGCTGATCCCCTCCCAAATATTACATTTTTCGTGCTTCATGTCCAAATCATTCTAAAGTATCTAAAATTGATTGTGTAGCTCAATGCAGTCACTAACGGATGATTTGGACATGAAGCGCTGAAAATTGTAATATAGGTACTATTGACTTTCATTGGATTTGTGCCACAAATGTTCGTCGTCAAACCCACTGGCTCCAGGCCATCTATAAATCACTGCTAGGCAAATCCCCGTCTTATCTTAGCTCATTGGTCACCATAGCAACACCCACCCGTAGTCTGCGCTCCAGCAGGTATATCTCACTGGTCATTCCCAAAGCCAACACCTCCTTTGGCCGCCATTCCTTCCAGTTCTCTGCTGCCAATGACTGGAACGAATTGCAAAAATCTCTGAAGCTGGAGACTCTTATCTCCCTCACTAACTTTAAGCGTCAGTTGTCAGAGCACCTTACCGATCACTGCACCTGTACACAGCCCATCTGAAATTAGCCCCAACTACCTCATCCCTATATTGTTATTTATTTTGCTCTTTTGCACCCCAGTATCTCTATTTGCACATAATCTCTTGCACATCTAGCATTCCAGTGTTAATACTAATTGCAATTATTTTGCACTATAGCCTATTTATTGCCTTACCTCCATAACTTGCTACATTTGCACACACTGTATATATATTTTATGTTGTATTTTATGACCTTATGTTTTTTTTACCCCATATGCAACTCTGTGTTGTTGTTTTTATCGCACTGCTTTGCTTTATCTTGGCCAGGTCGCAGTTGTAAATGAGAACTTGTTCTCAACTGGCTTACCTGGTTAAATAAAGGTGAAATAAAATAAATAAATAAAATGCTAAAACCTTAGCATTTCCCAGTGCCAGGGAAACAAAATCAAAGCATGGATTGCTGTCGTACATTGTCCATAGACTGCTTACAGGATAAGGAAACAAATGCCATGTTGTAATTTCGGTGAACTATCCATCTAACTTTAGTTAACGTAGATGAACATTATCTCGTTTCCGTAGTGTAGTGGTTATCACGTTCGCCTAACACGCGAAAGGTCCCCGGTTCGAGACCGGGCGGAAACATGTTTTTCCACATTTCACAGTACCCTAGGTCTCACGAGAGAAAATTACAAACAAATAAATTGACTCAATAAATACATCCAAAAAAAACATCTAAAAATTATATATAAGGGACATGGACATTTCTTCAACCACATTACCTAAAAAGCCATTTAATAATCATTCACCTTTGGTATACATACATTTATGACAATATAATGATTCAGTTTGAAACAAAACCCTTTTGGAGATACATATTTACTGCGTTGCATGAGATAGTTGGTTATGTAACAACTTGCTACAATTGGAGATAAATGGCAACAGTGTACATGTGTATGATGAACTCTGTGGATAAAATGTACAACGTGTCTGACGCGACTGCGCGTGGAAATACAACTCCCACAATCCTGCACTCCTTGAAAGACGCACGTGCGCATGCGCTGTTCAACCCATTATTTTGTCCACCTCAAGCAACAAATGAAGAACAGGCTGAGTGTTCTTTGATATGAATTAAATATTAATATACGGAAACATTTTGTTCCTGTTCAATGTCACTCTTATACATGGAGTTACACGATACATAGCTTGCATCTTGGCCGGGCCGTAGAGCCCGCCGTCGGGGGATTCGAGGCCGAAAACACTCCGGAGTGACAGCACGATAGCTTGGGTGTTTAGCTATTTGGCTAGCTTGTCTGCTAACGGAAGGGGTTCGAGAGGAGGAAGGAAAAATAAGATAGAGGAATTTTGACAACTCCATCTTTCAGGCAGAAAGGGCTGCGGCTGCCCTTTTCCTGTCAAACCTGCCGACGAGATGGCGCACCTACGCGACATGCAGAACCAGGTAGGTAGCCTAATCTGTAGGGACTGTCACCCCGTTTAGCCAAGGCGAACACCGATGACTGCGAGGCATTCGATGAATAGATGGGCGGGTTTAGGTGGGTGGGGGCGCCTAGCTAAATCATTACACACACTGAAACAGACGACTGGAGATTTCAAAGATAGCGGAGATGTACACACCCATCCGAAATCCATTCAGCCTCCAATGTTTAATCTTGTCGCTGTCAACAACACACATCCTCCTAATCCCCATCAAGTAAAGCAGCTAACCAATAACATTGTAGCCTATTTGCACGACATATAATCAAATTACCTTATTTCTAAAAACTGTAGTTTATCCAAAACCAGAATGGCCAAATGTCTTGACAGATCCAGTTTACGAGCTAATAAAGCCTGTTGTTGTGCCTCTTACTAAGTCGTTCTATGTTGTCACTGCTTTCCTGTGGAGCAGAATTCCAGGCTGGACCCTGAGGAGTACTTCACCAAGCAGGAGCGCATTGGGAAGGGCTCCTTTGGAGAGGTCTACAAGGGCATCAACAACCGCACCAAAGAGGTGGTGGCCATCAAGATCATTGACCTGGAGGAAGCCGAGGACGAGATTGAAGACATACAGCAGGAGATCACCGTACTGAGTCAGTGTGACAGTCCCTTTGTCACAAAGTACTATGGCTCCTACCTGAAGGTAAAGCTAAACGCATAGACAGAGACCCGAAAGAGAGACACACACAGAGACATACAGACACATACATATCACTCATACACCAATATATATATACACACACGCACACAAACTCACACACTCTGAGACTTCTGCCTATGTTCAGGTCAAATCTCACAGCAGGCCTTCGCATTGAAAAACGTCTCGGTCTCTGTTTCTCCAGGGCACTAAGCTATGGATCATCATGGAGTATTTGGGTGGGGGATCAGCTCTGGACCTGGTAAGACAATGCCTTTCCTAATTGCTCCTGAGGGGATAAGTACAATTGTATTTAACTGAATCAGTGGAGCAGCTATTGACATTGTATGCCAATTGTTTGATTAATAAATGCTGACTTACAGATGTCTGATTAATAAATGCTGACTTACATTACAAAAGGCATGAGTTGGAAGATGAGTTGGAGGATGCACACGTATTTAGCAATAATCTAAATAGGCTCTCAGCAAGAAACTCCCAATGACTGAGTCATCCTCACTCTCCCTCTCTCCCCCTCTCTCTCTCTCCCCCACTCTCCTCTCCCCTACTCTCCTCTCCCCTAATTTTCTCTTTCTTTCTCTTCCATTATCTCTCTCTCCCCTCTATTTCTCTCTCTTCAGCTACGTCCTGGGCCTCTAGAAGAGACCTATATCGCCACCATACTGAGGGAAATACTGAAGGGACTGGAGTACCTGCACTCTGAGAGGAAGATCCACAGAGATATCAAAGGTGCAGGCTGCTCCCTTTGGTCCCCTATTCATCTGTCTATGCAACAGGACAGCAACCCCTAACAGAATCCCCCACCCATCAAAATGATACCCTGAGCCTGCACTCTACTGGTGGTTTCCGTAGTGTAGTAGTTATCACGTTCACCTAACACGTGGAAAGGTCCCTGGTTCGAAACCGGGCGTAAACATATTTTCAAAAAGTAAATAGCAGCTGCGGAACCAACTTTTTCCAGACTTTTTGTTCCCCTAACTATGTTCCAACATCTAGTGGAAAGCCTTCCCACAAGAGTGGAGGCTGTTAGAGCAGCAAAGGGGGGACCAACTCCATATTAATGCCTATGATTTTGGAATAAGATGTTTGACAAACAGGTGTCCACATACTTTTGGTCATGTAGTGTATATTATGCAGGTATGAACTACACATTGACACATCCAGCCCAAAGCGGGAGGTTTAACAAAATACTTACTAGTTGCCAAAGTACCGGAGCATGTCATTAATAGTTGAAAAAAATACTAAAGACTGATCTGGGAAGACCATGTAGAACAGGGCCCTAGTAGACAGCTATAGGTGCCAGTGGATATATGGTTCAGCCGCCACAGGTCTGTCCAGTCCAAGATATCTTCAGAACAGGTTTATTACAGATACTTGGTTCAACCACACCACACTGCTTGTTTTGACTGCCTACTGTGTAAGTGAGTGTAAAAGTAGTTCTATTGAAGGCAGAGGAGGCTAGTGAGTGGAGGACAGCTCATAATAATTAATGGAATGGAATCAAACACATGGAAACCAGGTGTTTGATGTGTTTGAGACCATTCCATTAATTCTGTTCCAGTAATTACTAATTTATGAGCCCATCCTCCCCATTTAAAGTGCCACCAGCCACCACTGATGGCGGAATAGAAAGTTAAGTGGCTTACATTACATACAGGCCCATAGAGTAGACTGTGGGGGTTTACAGAATACATTATGACATGGTACTACTATGCCATGACAGGACAAAGATCAATTTACTGGTAAGTAAATGTGACTGGAATGTATCCAAGGTCTTGCATGAGACCAGAACCAACGTGGAATAGTAGGCAACTGCACCATGTGGAAAGGGACAGGCTTTTAGTCTATATGTAACATGTGGCTACATACAGTACCTACATACTGTAGCTACATGATAGGATTACATGAGGCTACACAAAATACTCTAAATGTCCACAAACACGGCTATAACTTTAACCTGACAACATAGAATAATATTATGCCTAAAACGATGTAGCGTTATGCGCTATCCCAAAACTAACAAGCTAACGTTAGCATGGCTGGCTAACATCTTGGTTTAGCTAGCTAACGTTAGCTAGCTAGCTGTATGACCTGCAATTGCATGAAGCACATGGACAAGGAAAATACCATAAACATGGTAAATAACTAAACTGCCTTAGCAATGACATGTCACAGTACTTACAATTAGATGCATGCACTAAACACAGGTCAAATTCGATTAACTTGAGGAACAGTCCAAGGAGTACAAATTTAGCTTTTGACTTCGATCTCACTCTGAAGATGGGGGGTGCTGAAACGACTAGCTAACTGCTAAACTGTTAATTAATGGTGCTCTTTGGCTAACTGGTTAGTGTTGTGATCTACCTGTATACAACATGTATATGGTTAAATCTTGTTATTACATGTCGTTAATGCTAAAACGGTAGATGTTCTGATCCATCAGGGTCTGGAGATTTTGCAGGAGAATCATCCATAAAAACGGATTTCTACAAAGCAGTAGGTGTAGGCCAATAGATCAACATAGAGAACATTCATTGCCGTCTTCTTTTTGAACGATGTGAGTGTTGTGATGATATCTATTAAATGTAAGCTAAGCACTTAAATGTAAGCTAAACGCATCTTCTAAGTGGTATATACTATTATTTATTGACCACCAACCCTCCTCTCTCTCTCCCTCCCCTTCTCCCTCTCTCTGTGGCAGCTGCCAATGTGCTGCTGTCAGAGCAAGGCGACGTGAAGCTGGCAGACTTTGGCGTGGCGGGTCAGCTGACCGACACCCAGATCAAGAGGAACACATTCGTGGGCACTCCCTTCTGGATGGCGCCCGAGGTCATCAAACAGTCAGCCTACGACTTTAAGGTCAGCAACCCACATGGAGTTGGCAGTTGGCTCTAATATGGCCTAGTCCACATGGTTGGAGGAGCGTCAGCAGGGTTTATTTCCGTTAGTGCAGGATATTGAATGAAACTCAAATGTGAGAACTGAGAAGAGCCTCTTATTGTCAATTAGCATTTTTCTATTTTTGAATTGGAAGATCGTTTCACTTCCTTAATTGAGGTGGAATTTACACAAATCCTGCTGCTGCTCCATTGTTTTTGATGTCAGGCTCTTGATACATGTTCAGCACATCCCTTATGAATTCTGTACACATAAATATCAAGTGTGTCTGTACATATGTATCTATCTGTGTATACATGTCTGTCTTACACTTGTCTGGCTTCCTCCCAGGCGGATATCTGGTCCCTGGGCATCACGGCCATTGAGCTGGCCAAAGGGGAGCCCCCCAACTCAGACCTGCACCCCATGAGGGTCCTCTTCCTCATTCCTAAGAACACCCCTCCCACCCTGGAGGGATCCTACAGCAAGCCCTTCAAAGAGTTTGTGGAGGCCTGCCTCAATAAAGACCCACGCTTTGTGAGTCAATTACTTTCTCTGTTGAAGTTCTCCATTGACAATTATTTTTAGTTGAGTGCTAGGCTTAATCTGGGTTCTGGGAAACTGGCCCTGAAAAGTCTACCTGTTTGAGGGGACTAGCAGTAGACGACCTATCAAAATAACAATTTTAAAGAGCATGACTTTGTAGGCATCCTTCCCTAAAATAAACATGTGTACTTAGGCTGTTATAAGCATTTGTTTGTTTTATTCATAGAAATAGACTTACAATACCTCAATGGTGTTGCTGGTGCACCTATATTTAGAGTTTTATCATAATAATACCAACTTCATTTATAAAGCGCTCAAAGCAGTCATATTTAGTATGGGATTGAATGCATGTCTTTGTACTACGCTCTCTCCCTCAATAGAGGCCGACAGCCAAGGAGCTGGTGAAGCACAAGTTCATCACACGCTACACCAAGAAGACGGCCTACCTGTCGGAACTCATCGACCGCTACCGCCGCTGGAGGTCCGAGGGCCACGGGGAGGAGTCCAGCTCAGACGACTCAGATATGTGAGGCCCTTAACACACACACACAGTGACGCGCTCACACACAAGCACAGACATATACAGTACACAATGGATGAATCAGTTTTAAAACAAACACACACGACAACCTACCCAACATATTCAATATTTCTGACTGGCTGTAGATATAGAACATGCACTTCTCTATTTTACGTGGTACTGAATTAAAGATCTCAAACAGACCTACTGTCTCCTCTTCTTACAGGGATGCTGATGGTGACGACAACCAGTGTCCTATGTGGACCTTCCCCACAGTCCGACCCAGCTCCATGAACAAACTACAGAAGGGCTACATACATGCCGATACAGAGGTGAGACCATGTTGGTGCACATTTAAACACACAAACAAACAGCTTGGGCTGGGACACTGTGTGAAGTAATTTGTTGTCTCTGGGTTTTTTTTTCAGTCTGCGGATTCGGTGAAACGGCAACCCAAGTCACAGTGTCTGTCGGCATTGGTCACTCCCATTTTCAAAGAGGTAACAAGTTCCAGAAGCTACGTCTTAGAATGTGCACATTGTGTGGACAATACAATTTTCCTTTTCTATTAACGCTATGCTGAAATCTAATTAATCCCTGTGTTTGTCCTGTCCAGTTAAAGGAGAAGCGGAGGGCTGCTGGAGGTGGCGTGGGGGCCATCGAGGAGCTGGAGAACGCCTTTAACCTGGCCGAGGAGTCCTGTCCCGGCATCTCCGACCGCCTCGTCACACACATGATGGAGAGAGTCTGCAGGTGAGTTTGGTGGGCTGGCCTCAAGCACACGCACAATTCCAATACACTTCAGTGACATCCTTTTCTCACCTCTTGTCCGTTGTGACTAACACCACTGATCTGAAAGGACAAAGAATAAAAGGTGAGGTATGACTATATGGACACAGACGAGTGCAATTCATTGGTGTCTTATCACTACAATATCACCTATTCACTCATTTAAATCTACTCTCCTTCTCTTTTATTCATCAGGTTCTCTCTCAATGGTAACACCACCCCCTCCTCGCGGTGAACCCCTGCTGGCTGCTACTCCAAATCCCCTTCCGTCTACATCTATTCCCCCTCAGACCGTCCAACGTCCCCCCATGGACCACGAAAACCCACTCCTCTGCCCCCCAGTCCACCTGACGACCTCCCAGAGAGCTTTTAATTAGTTACGATTAAATATTTTTACATTTTTTCCTTTATAGAACGGAGAGTATTTAAGACAAAAAAAAGCCATGACATTAAGAACGCTGTGTATACCTGTTAGATCGAGACACAATCCTAAAATAAAGTCTATGGAAACGTCTATGGGTTTGTGAGCTTCTCTGTTGCATCACATGCACAGTTGTTACACAACATTCAAAATGTTGCAGGTTTTCTATGAAGCCAATTCTATTCAATGTATTTCAGCAAATAACACCTGGGTCAAATACATAGTTTAAAATATTTGAAATACTTCAGGTGTGCTGGTTTAGCTTGCCTGGTATATGGAGTTTGCACCTTCGACACTATTCCATTGTGCTCGACACGCCAAATCAAGCACACCACAAGTATTGCAAGTGTTTGATATACATATTCAATCTAGATCTGCAGCAAATTCTCTGAACATTTTGTCCCGTATAAAAACCACCATCCCAGTTAGATCGGTGGCAAGTTCCAATGTTTCCACCTGTCCGGTTAATTTAAGCTCCTTAGCTTTCCTCACACTCGCAGTGAATGGCAGGGCCTCAGGTGACCTAAGTCTTAGCCAGGCACGCTGCTCCGCTGTTGCCGTTAGCGTTAGGAGTTTATGCTTTAAACCTTTTTTCGCCCTCCTCTCTGACTAGGCTGTCACTGGGTTACAGTATTAATGACATAGGTCTTTGAACTGAACATTCTCTGTGAAAGCAGGACCATATTCAAAGTAGTTAGTTTGGCTAAATGTTTTCAGAGGAAATAACACTGCTTGCCCTGGATATTTCAGTTAAGATTCTGTAAAACATGTCATATTATAGATATTCAATCAGATATTTATTAGTCAGTGTCATCACCCATCAAATTACACTGACACAGATGCCTGCTGATGCCTACAGAAGGTGCCCATTGTAGTATAGTGATTACCCAGAGGTGTGTCCACCAGGATGGCACAGTAGAACTCAGGGGGGTGCGGGCAATGCCAACCGCTGCCAATCTGGTCAAACATTCCCAGTGGGAGGCACCTTGGCAGCAGCTCTGCCACATCCCTCTGCTTCGGGGCACCGGTTATCAACAGCACCCCGTTCTCAATCATGTAGCAGACGGGGGAGAGTGTGGGCCTAGTTCCAATTAATTTCATTTACTTTCTACCTCAAATCAACCACTGATATGCAAAGATTAGATGGGTGAATGTGCTATGATGGAAATATTGCCTTCACTTCCAGTCACCTATTGCCTTCACATTCGGATCAGTGATTACCTCAATTAAAAGGGAGAAAGTAAGGATTCATTTTTAGAAACAAACATTGCTGCTGTTAATACTGTTTTGGCCAGGGTACCCTCATACCAACTACTGAGCATTAAATAATAGATACATTTGGATCATTGTAAGTATTAGTGTAAGGAGTTATTTTACAATTTCTCTATTGATGAAAGTTGCATTTCAAACTGAACAGGAGCACTGAACTCATGAATCTAAATAGATTGGCAAATAACTACATTTTTAAAGGGGAAAGAATGTTGTCTGTTTTCAATGCATCAGTGACGGCCAAGAAGCTAGCAGAAAGAGGGAGGAGGAGGAACATACAAATGTTATTTGTTTAGCATATTTCACATATAGCCCAAAATGTACTACTAATTTTGATTTAAGGTTACTGGCATACATGTACTTAGTCAAGGAAGGTGTAGAGACGCAGGCAGACAAGACAGCCAGCCAAGACAGCCAGCCAAAGATAGCCAGCCTGCCAGAGGCAAGGAGACATGAGGTTGACAGTGATGTAGTCGAGGAAGGTGGAGGGGGGCACTAGAGAGTGAGCGTAGTCAGCATGTTCTCCTTCAGTCAGCATGTTCTCCTTCAGTCAGCATGTTCTCCTTCAGTCAGCATGTTCTCCTTCAGTCAGCATGTTCTCCTTCAGTCTGTGGTCGACGAGTGACACGGTCAGGTCAACCTGAGGTGAACTGGCAATATCTTACTGTATCATGAGTCAGAAGCCACTGGGAGAACATTACCAGCATTACCAGACTGAAGATATGGTCATCTGTAAAAAGAAAATCTGGATGGAAGATTAGATAAGGAAGGATTTATCCCATGGCTAGACATGAGCCACTTAAGCAATAAGGCCCGAGGGGGTGTGGTATATTTACCACAACTAAGTGCTGCTCTTAGACAATGCGAAGCGGAATGCTACAGCCCTTAGCTGTGGTATATTGGCCATATACCACAAGCCCCAGACGTGCCTTATTGCTATTATAAACTGGTTACCAATTGAAATAGAACAGTAAACAAGCATTTTTGTGTAATACCTGTGGTATATTGTTTGATAGAGACACGGTTGAAATGCTGTTTCAGCCAATCAGCATCTAAACTACCTGGTTTATGAACACTTGGATCAAGATTTATTTATTTTGAAATTACTAATGAAGCAAACTAGAATCTAGCTTTAATAAAAACTTTAATACAAGATTGTATACGTCAAGGGTTTTATTTGACAGTTATTGGATAAAACAGCAGAAACTGGAATGTTAAGAACTCTGGCTTGGCTTGTGTGGGATATGGGCCAAGCGGGTGACACAAACAAACCAGATCACCATGATGATGGTCATAGCCACTGTAAATGGGCCTGTCCAACATCCAAATGTCAGTCTTAACCCATTGACACACAGCCATAAAGAACAGAAGGATATGGATAGGTATCATATAACACGAAGTACAGTGTGCCTTTACAGCACGACCTCATCACACATACTCTGGACGCACGTTATTCCACAATCAATATCACGGGGGGGCCACGAAGAAAAGCCAATGTCATCTGCAATGCATGAGCCTGGTCCGAACATCACAGTAATTCAATGTACTTTTAGTTCACCAGGACTTGCGCCTCGAACCTCAATTCCCTTTACAATATGTTAAAGCCTGGGGGCGTAGGGAGCCCAGGCCCATAAAGCATCTCAGAGTAAGAGTGCTAATCTAGGATCAGCCCTTACCAAAAAAGATTGCTGTCAGAGTGCAGAATAACTGCAGTAAGCTGCGTTCCGAAACAACACTTTTTCTTACTGCAGTAATTTTGCAGTGGAACTGCAGTTAAGAGTGCAGTAAAATTGCAGTTTAACTGCAGTTATTCTGCGTCCAAAATACCAGTCGACTGCAGTTACAAAACTGCAATCTTTTTTTGTAAGGGAGGTCCCCCAGTCTATGTAACCATATTCATCATGATCTAAAAAGGCTGAAAGGATCCTAGATCGGCACTCCTCCTCAGACTCTTTACAGGCCCAGTATTTATAGAGGCACATACAGTAAAAAACACCAAGGTATGTCTCCTTCATTGGTTCAGGGCTACAGGATGACTGGGAAGGTCAGTGTCATGCATTTCAGTCATAACCAGTCGTTTCAACACAACGTCAGACAGGGTTAAGAACTGCATGCAAGGGGAGTGGGAGAAAGAACCCTGTCAATGAATCCTAGGATTAAGGAAAAATCATTTAGCTGCTTTTCGAAAGACTAGATCTTTAAAAAATATCTTTAACCAATATACTATCTTTAAAGAATTCTCCAACATTGGCATGACAACCATTAAAGAAAAAAAAGTATTACGGTTTTAGCTGTATGGCTCCATGAAAGACAGAAGAGAGCTGCTAACTTTCACAGTAAATTGGCCTTTCCCACTGGTAACCACAGTTGGCAACATGATTGATGGTTGGTGAGTGGTTTTAGATGGAGCCGAGTGGACAGCCTTGGCTATGACATTACTGAGGAGGGGCAGCAGCAGCAGCTTTTGGCTTTCTCAACAGCAAAAAAATTAAATAACAATGGCCACTATAATAAGAGCATACTCCAGGTTAAAGGAGTGTTATTCTTCATTTGGTGACTAACTGGCATGGTCCAATAGAATGGAACAAATGAATAATGAGCAATATGGAATATTACAAAGAAAGTGTAAATATAAAAACATAATACTGTTTATATAAAAATAAAGAAAAACAACAAAAGAAAACTCAAAATAATCCCAAGTAGGAGCGAAATAAACTAAAAATAGTGGCAAGCAGTATGAGACAAGGACCAGTTATCTTCCTTCTCTTCTGCAATCCTTCCATCCATGTCTGGTCAAGCTCAAATAACAGCTTTAAAACCTGCAAGGAAAGACCATACTGTAAAATTCTGACTTGTACTTCCTAACTTTGGATGTATATGAACACAAAAGACTTAAAAAATATTAACAAATCTGCTTGAGTATCTCTGAATATAGTAATCAAAATTATATTTACCACTTAGCAGACACTTTTATCCAAAGAGACTTACAGTTCAGAGAGTTCAAATATTTGTTGTATGTGTATTTGATACAGGTATTGAATCAACGACCTTGGCATTGCTAACGCCACGCCCTTACCAACTTAGCCATACAGGTGCACAATATGCCATAGTGTACATTTCAGTCTTCACAGCACAGCTTTGTTGTGTTTAGTGTCAAATGGACTTGTTCTTACCGTGGTGTATTTCACACATGCTGGACATCTCCCGCTCCGTCAGGCTTAATCTGCATCTGGGCCTGCATCTTGGTAATCATGTCCTGCATCCTCCTCAGCTGCACAGAACAAACAGCATTACTACCAAAAACATAGAACACTGACTGACTAAAATCCCCCCCCTCAAAACAACCACCTATCACATGAAATAAACGTATCACAGTCCTTCAAGTACAAGTGAGGGTGTAGGAGGTAATGCGAGTGGGTATTCAAGATCATGTGACACTCCCATAAAAGGTGATATTTGAATGGACGTGTATATATATATATATATATATATACACATTACATACACACTACCGGTCAAAAGTTTTAGAACACCTACTCATTCAAGGGTTTTTCTTTATTTTTACTATTTTCTACATTGTAAAATAATAGTGAAGACATCAAAACGATGAAATAACACATATGGAATCATGTAGTTACCAAAACAAGTGTTAAACAAGTCAAAATATATTTGAGATTTGAGATTCTTCAAATAGCCACTCTTTGCCTTGATGACAGCTTTGCACACTCTTGGCATTCTCTCAACCAGCTTCACCTGGAATGCTTTTCCAACAGTCTTGATGGAGTTCCCACATCTGCTGAGCACTTGTTGGATGCTTTTCCTTCACTCTGCGGTCCGACTCATCCCAAACCATCTCAATTGGGTTGAGGCCGGGGGATTGTGGAGGCCAGGTCATCTGATGCCGCACTCCATCACTCTCCTTCTTGGTAAAATAGCCCTTACACAGCCTGGAGGTGTGTTGGGTCATTGTCCTGTTGAAAACCAAATGATAGTCCCACTAAGCCCAAACCAGATGGGATGGTGTATCGCTGCAGAATGCTGTGGTAGCCATGCTGGTTAAGTGTGCCTTGAATTCTAAATAAATCAGACAGTGTCACCAGCGAAGCACCCCCACACCACAACACCTCCATGCTTTACAAAGACACAGCGGTTGGAACCAAAAATCTCCAATTTGGACACATTTTCACCGGTCTAATGCCCATTGCTCGTGTTCCTTGGCCCAAGCAAGTCTCTTCTTCTTATTGGTGTCCTTTAGTAGTGGTTTCTTTGTAACAATTCGACCATGAAGGCCGGATTCACAGTCTCCACTGAACAGTTGATGTTGAGATGTGTCTGTTACTTGAACTCTGTGAAGCATTTATTTGGGCTGCAATTTCTGAGGCTGGTAACTCTAATGAACTTCTCCTCTGCAGCAGAGGTAACTCTGGGTCTTCCTTTCCTGTGGCGGTCCTCATGAGAGCCAGTTTCATCATAGCGCTTGATTGTTTTTGTGACTGCACTTGAAGAAACTTTAACAGTTCTTGAAATCTTCCATATGACTGACCTTCATGTCTTAAAAGTAATGATGGACTGTCGTTTCTCTTTGCTTATTTGAGCTGTTCTTGCCATAATATGGACTTGGTCTTTTACCAAATAGGGCTACATTCTGTATACCCCCCTACCTTGTCACAACACAACTGATTGGCTCAAACGCATTAAGGAAATAAATTCTACAAATTAACTTTGCTGTTAATTGAAATGCATTCCAGGTGACTACCTCATGAAGCTGGTTTGAAGAATCTCAAATATGAAATATATTTTCATTTGTTTAACACTTTTTTGGTTACTACATGATTCCATGTGTTATTTCATAGTTTTGATGTGTTCATTATTGTACAATGTAGAAAATAGTAAAAATAAAGAAAAACCCTTGAATGAGTAGGTGTTCTAAAACTTTTGACCGGTAGTGTCAGTCAGTGAGTGAGTGAGTGAGTATATATATATATAGTAGAAGGGTAGTGTGAAAGGTAGGTGGTGAATGAGGGGGATATGAATAGTTAGTTATCCCACCTCAGCCTCCTTCTCCTGCAGGATCATGTCCTTGTCCATTTCCTCCGGCTCAGGCCCCTGCCCCTGCCTGTAACACGGACACAGGTTTGGTGAGTTTGGCTCTTTAGGCTAAAGGCCCAATCATTGGGGAGACTTACCGTAAATATCCACTGGAAACGTTGTACATTTCAAGTTCTTGCGAGTCTGTTTTTACATAGTTTGTGCAATCAGATGAAAAGACAGTATTGAAAAGCATCTCATTGTCATTCATAGAATCAGCAGAAAGGTAGAGTGGAGTGAAAACCCCACTGTGCATAGGGGCTCTCTGGAAGGCAGTTTAGTAAAAGCCCAAATCTGGTGGTTGTGTGTGTGTGTGGGGGGTGCAGTTTCTAGCTTTCTAGTATTTAAGCAGACGTGACAAAAGCAACACTTAGAAAGTAGAAAGAGGGGCAGGTTAATTACTCAGCGAGAAAGAACAGGCTGGGGGGTAGAACAGTGGACAGCTGGGTGCTAGAAGGCAAGCTGCAGAAGCAAGAAGAGAGGGTCGGGGGGGGTACCTCTAACAGTCCACTCAGGGGATTGGACAGACCAGAGAACCATCATTGGGCTGATGACAAGTCAATGGGAAGGCAGTAAAATCACTCCCTTCTCCTGGATTGGCTATAGAGGAAGGTCTCAAAAAATCTAAAGGATCCACACTCCTAGAGTTATATGATACCCATACAACCTATAACCAAACTATATACTGGTTAAAAACCCATAGCCCACTAGAAAATGCAACCTTAACCCACTACCAAGGTCAAAAATAGCCCACTGACTATACATACCTAACTCTAACCCACTACCAAGGTCAAATTGTTGTAAAGTGTTTTCCAACAGTGTAATGTTAATGACTTTTAATGCTGAAGATCACCTAACTACTTCTTGACAGAAGTTAGCCCCAGATAAGTGGAACTGTCTGACTTTGAGACACTGGATTAGTTACCCATTCATTGTCTTTATAAGGAGATAAGTCATTCAATTCCAAGTAAGTCAAGCGAGTCTTGTGTTCGAACGGTATCAACATAATCTCTGTTATATTCAGCTGTGTATGTGGCATTAAGCCTTTGTCTTTGGCTGTATATTATATTACTAGCTTTGGGAGGTTTCAGGGTGCAGAAAGGCAAGCAGACAAGTACGTACGCAGGAGACAGAACGTAACCATGGGAGGACAACCTGCCACCCCGTTTGAGGCGCTCAGAGCGGAAGTTCTCGTAGTGCAGGTCCTGGGTCACCTCCTGCAAGTCCTGCATGTGAGTGCTGCGGATGGATAGGTATCAGTCAATCAATGAAGCACTAAACCAATGACTTAACTCAAGTTAGTCAATCACAAGAGGGTTACCTCATAATCGAAACACCAAGCAGTATGTGAGACAGGACAGCCACTACTTATGACTGATCACAGATTGATAAAACATACACAATTATGGCCGTGGCTGCGAATACGGAGATTTCACGCGCAGAAATCGGGTTCCAGAGAATCCAGAACCGCAGCTACACAGTTCTTACAACTGACACAGCTTTGTAAAAGACAAGCATTCATCGATATCAGAGTATAAGCTAAATCAACCATGAACACTAAATCAAATCTCCATTCCTCACTATTTCAAATCAGGATTCTCAAGCTGCTATTCAACGCTGCTTGATGCTGCTATTCAAGTCTGATGTATGAAGAAACCAGAGCAGCCCCTCAGATGATAAGGTCCACCAGTGCAGTCCCCCCCTCTCCCACCCACTCACATGAGCATGGTGCGCAGCTTGAGGAAGTCGTTGTGCTCGGGGTTCTCCACCTCCACCACGCCCCAGGGGTACAGGCGACCCCGCACCTTCTTCCCCTTGGCCTCAATCTGCTGGTTGGAGCCCACCACCGCAAAGGGAATACTGGCCTAGGGGGGAGACAGGAGAGGACAAGGAAAGAGCAGAGGTTAATGGTTCAAATAGCTACCATGTTATATTCAGTATATGTGGCCCATGCAGGATTCAAACCCACAACCCTAAATCAACCAACGTGTGCCTTTTTTAAATGTATGTAGTTCTGTCCTTGAGCGGTTCTTGTCTATTAATGTTCTGTATTAGGTAATGTTTCATGTTTTGTGTGGACCCCAGGAAGAGTAGCTGCTGCTTTCGCAACAGCTAATGGGGTTCCAGACAAAATACCAATTACCCTGGTTTTACTAAAAAAGACTGAGTTTTGATGTTTTTTTATTGAATAAATATAAGGAAAGACGTTTTGCATTAGGAATCTTTGTAAGGAGATAAATGAGTGGAGGAGATGAGGAGGGTTACTTTGAGAATCTTGGTCTGCTCCTTGAAGTCTTCGTCCTCGTCAGACTCTGCGTCAGGGAGGTGATAGATCTTGATACCATGCTCATCAATCTCATCCAGAATCTACAGCAACATGGAGGATGGAAACGTCATTTTGGCAATTTACTTTAGCTGCGCTTTAACTTTTGATTTGAATATATACAGTACTTTATTGATCCACAGAGGGATTATTTAAACAATACAGGCACATGGTGCAGTTGTCATAAGAAAGGACGATAGCTACATCCACATCCCTCATTTGACACTACTTATCCTGTGCTACTTGACACTACTTAACTTGTTCTCCTATTGTATACATTTGAGAGTCAAGAGGTTGAGCTATAATATGTCTCCTACCCTGACGTTGAGCTATGTGTTTCCAACCCTGACGTTGAGCTATGTGTTTCCAACCCTGACATTGAGCTATGTGTTTCCAACCCTGACGTTGAGCTATAATATGTCTCCTACCCTGACGTTGAGCTGTGTTCCCAACCCTGACGTTGAGCTATAATATGTCTCCTACCCTGACGTTGAGCTATAATATGTCTCCTACCCTGACGTTGAGCTATAATATGTCTCCTACCCTGACGTTGAGCTATGTGTTCCCAACCCTGACGTTGAGCTATAATATGTCTCCTACCCTGACGTTGAGCTATGTGTTTCCAACCCTGACGTTGAGCTATAATATGTCTCCTACCCTGACGTTGAGCTATAATATGTCTCCTACCCTGACGTTGAGCTATAATATGTCTCCTACCCTGACGTTGAGCTATAATATGTCTCCTACCCTGACGTTGAGCTATGTGTTTCCAACCCTGACATTGAGCTATAATGTCTCCTACCCTGACGTTGAGCTGTGTTCCCAACCCTGACGTTGAGCTATAATATGTCTCCTACCCTGACGTTGAGCTATGTGTTTCCAACCCTGACGTTGAGCTATAATATGTCTCCTACCCTGACGTTGAGCTATAATATGTCTCCTACCCTGACGTTGAGCTATAATATGTCTCCTACCCTGACGTTGAGCTATAATATGTCTCCTACCCTGACGTTGAGCTATGTGTTTCCAACCCTGACATTGAGCTATAATGTCTCCTACCCAGACGTTGAGCTATGTGTTTCCAACCCTGACGTTGAGCTATAATGTGTCTCCTACCCTGACGTTGAGCTATAATATGTCTCCTACCCTGACGTTGAGCTATAATATGTCTCCTACCCTGACGTTGAGCTATAATATGTCTCCAACCCTGACGTTGAGCTATAATATGTCTCCTACCCTGACGTTGAGCTATGTGTTTCCAACCCTGACGTTGAGCTATAATATGTCTCCTACCCAGACGTTGAGCTATGTGTTTCCAACCCTGACGTTGAGCTATAATATGTCTCCTACCCTGACGTTGAGCTATGTCTCCTACCCTGACGTTGTGCTATGTGTTTCCAACCCTGACGTTGAGCTATAATATGTCTCCTACCCTGACGTTGAGCTATAATGTCTCCTACCCTGACGTTGAGCTATAATATGTCTCCTACCCTGACGTTGAGCTATAATATGTCTCCTACCCTGACGTTGAGCTATAATATGTCTCCTACCCTGACGTTGAGCTATAATATGTCTCCTACCCTGACGTTGAGCTATAATATGTCTCCTACCCTGACGTTGAGCTATAATATGTCTCCTACCCTGACGTTGAGCTATGTGTTTCCAATTCTGATGTTGAGCTATAATATGTCTCCAACCCTGATGTTGAGCTATAATAGGTATCCTACCCTGACGTTGAGCTATAATATGTCTCCTACCCTGACGTTGAGCTATAATATGTCTCCTACCCTGCGCTTGAGCCTCTCCCTCTCTCTCAGGGTGAGCGTGTCGGCCTTGGCGATGACAGGGACCACGTTGACTTTGTTGTGGATGGCCTTCATGAACTGTACATCCAGAGGCTTCAGCCTGAGAGAGAGAGCGAGAGGAGTGTAAGAACTGAACATTCCACAGGGGGGTGCTCATGTAAAGTCAAGGTAAATTAAAATGTTGAAAATGTGATGTTAGTATTACTAGTTTGGATTGCATTTCATCATATATTACATTGTCAAGACTGGCATTGCTATGGTACTACTAGTAGTACTATTGGTGTGTGTTAGGGTTGGGCGATGTCAACCTTTGTCCTACTGTGATTAAGCATTGGCACCCATAAAAAAAAAAAACTTGTTATACGATGTTATCGCCCCCTATTGGCCAACCAAAAATGAAAAACTAAACAAAAAAAACTCAAACGGGATGCGAGGACTCATGACAAAATATATTTTGGAGGCAAATATTTTTTAGTAGCCTATTCCTCTCTGTTAGTGCGGTGGCAGGAAAGAAGTGTGTGCCCCAACATGCAAGTGGCAGTTAAATGAGCCTCGCTGGCTGTGCATCGTGTGATGGGTTGTGAATCATCAAGGGCCCGGCTGCAGCCACGCAACTCTGCTGTCCTCAGAACTGGATAATTACATTTTAGTCATTTAGCAGACGCTCTTATCCAGAGCGACTTACAGTAAGTGAGTGCATACATTTTCATACTGGCCCCCCGTGGGAAATGAACCCACAACCCTGGCGTTGCAAGCGCCATGCTCTACCAACTGAGCTACAGGGGATTAATTATTCAATGATTCAAATTTTTGCCTAATCTTCCTCTTATTATTAGGCCTAGGCTTCTACACATTGTAGGTAGGCTTCTATACGTTGTAGGTAGGCTTCTACACATTGTAGGTAGGCTTCTATACATTGTAGGTAGGCTTCTACACGTTGTAGGTAGGCTTCTATACGTTGTAGGTAGGCTTCTACACGTTGTAGGTAGGCTTCTACACGTTGTAGGTAGGCTTCTACACATTGTAGGTAGGCTTCTACACATTGTAGGTAGGCTTCTACACGTTGTAGGTAGGCTTCTATACGTTGTAGGTAGGCTTCTATACGTTGTAGGTAGGCTTCTATACGTTGTAGGTAGGCTTCTACACATTGTAGGTAGGCTTCTACACATTGTAGGTAGGCTTCTATACGTTGTAGGTAGGCTTCTATACGTTGTAGGTAGCTTCTATACGTAGGTAAGCTTCTATATGTTGTAGGTAGGCTTCTATATGTTGTAGGTAGGCTTCTATATGTTGTAGGTAGGCTTCTATATGTTGTAGGTAGGCTTCTATACATTGCTAATAATAGGCTATGGAAAGAGTTTGAGATGTACACATTTTGAGCCTGTAATCGAACCCACAATTGCTGATGCTCCAGATACTCAACTAGTCTCAAGAAGACCAGTTGTATTGCTTCTTTAAATCAGCACAACAGTTTTCAGCTGTGCTAACATAATTGCAAAAGGGTTTTCTAATGATCAATTAGCCTTTTAAAATGATAAACTTGGATTAGCAAACACAATGTGCCATTGGTTGCTGATAATGGGCCTCTGTACGCCTATGTAAATACTCCTCATAACTAAACTTGTCTTAATGCTTTTGTTAGGCTATTTTAAATTAGTAGGATTTGACTTTTGGCCATTTGGTTCGCAACGGCAAGGAGGAAGGATACATGCATCATTTATTTTAGACTAAGCTTTGTTGAACTAAGGTTTGTTCAAACTACTCGTTAGATTTTTCTATCTTGCTATTGTTTGTTCTACCCCTCTCATTATTACCTTAGGCCTATAATGTTTTTAGGTTATTCAAAAATAACTTAAAACGTTAACAACTCCTTTAGATAAACTCATTGTTTTATCATGAAGTAGCACGGCGGGAGAAAGCCAGTATGCATAAAAACTAAAGTAATATTCACATCAAATGGAGAGGAAATACCAAATTGGGCTTTTCAAATAATTAGTCTGCTATAAAAAAAAAATAGGCTTTGGCTATATGGCCCAAATCATCTGACATTGAGAGAGAAAAAAAATGAAAATGTTCTGACTGGACATTTTGCGCTGCTTTGGTGAAATCTTAGCTCTGTCTACATTGTTCTCTTGCATTCTATGAGTTGTTTATAACATATGTATTGAAAAAGGTTATGCAGGCTATAGCAAAGGAATAGGCCACTTTGCATGGCCCTGCTGTGGGCTGCCGGTCAGCTCTGTACTGTGTGGTGCCAGTCAAGTTGAAATAGGCTATACATCGTCTGTCATATCACCATGTCGTCGCCATCGACGATGGCTGTCAATCAGCTTCAATAGCCGATACTATCGCCCAACCCTAGTGTGTATACCCATGGCCCAGCGGGGAGATGAAATAGAAGCAGCAGTGAACACGGTTGTCCACGATGTGCCGGCGGTTCAGACCGCTCTCGTCGTGGAGGTAGCGCTCAAACTGGTCGTCGATGTAGGCGATGATGGTGCTGAAACTGGGGGAGAAGAGAGGAGCACGGTGGTGGCCATTAGAAATGCTGGCGGTACCATATAGTTAAACACCTTGTGTGACATCGTTGTCATTAGTTACCACAGCCACAAAATCTAAATATATCATAAAAACAAACATTCGCTTTTTGATGTTAATTTAAAGTTAGGTATAAGGTTAGCAGTTGTGGTTAAGCTTAGGGTTAAAATCCGATTTTAAGATGATCAATTGTAGAAATAGGAAGGGTTGAGCCATAATTAAAACGTTGTGGCTGTGGTATCTAGTGATGACCGTATGACATGGGTACAACTGTTAGATATATATATATTTTTTTTTTACTATAAAGATATCCAAATACATCAACTGTATTCCAGTAATAACATAATTGTCCATGCACAAACAGATGTAGGTGATCATGGAGAAATAAAGTTATTAAATTTGAACTGACAGGATCAGGTCTCCCGTCTATACAACCATAGTGGCGTACCAGTCCTGGCTGTTGATGGCGTCACCGTATCCAGGCGTGTCCACCACGGTGAGGCGGAGCTTCACCCCTCGCTCCTCGATCTCAACCGTGGATGCCTCGATCTGAACCGTGCGCTCAATCTTCTCTGTGGATCACAATAAAAGGTTAGGCTTTTACTTTACAGATACTCTTGAGGCCACTGAATAAATGAGGGGTGATTTGGCGTAATTGGTTTTAAAATGGACTCCCATTAGGTTATACAGGAACAAATTAATTCAGGAGTAACAACTGGGAGTGTGGCCGTGGGGTGTGTGTATGGTCTTACCTGCTGCTCCGGGGATGATTCTCTCTGGGTAGAGATCAGTGAGGAACAAGCTGTTGATGAGGGTGGACTTCCCCAGACCAGACTCACCTAAACACGACACACAGAATCATCAATATAAAAACTATCATTCTGTTCCAAAAAAGGGACCGAATTAAAACAGAATAGAACAGGTTGTATTGTGCCTGCATGGCAAAACAGCCAATAGAAGGTAAAGGCAATATACCTGTTTATAACCGACTACTTTTTAGTCTACAAACCACAAATACTACAAGAATCTACAATTAGATGTGTGCAGGGTTTTTCATTTTTCCACAAAATACCCAACATAGCCCGCTAGTTGGCAGACATCCAGCCTGGACTCTGTATATTAGCCAGGCACTAACCAATGACACACATTAGGCCTCTCATAGCCTGGGAAATGCATTAACCTGGCAATAAAAGCAGATTTATCTAAACGCACACAGTCACACACACAGAAACTTTCCGGCAGCAGAGGCCTGTCCAGCACACAGGGCCACATTCCAGTCTGGTTTATTTTAAGGCAGAGCGGATGAGTGTGCAATAGGGCTCTCCTCCTCCCCTACACCACACAGACACATAGGGAGCTGAGAAAAAGGAAAACCATTTCACACAGCTAAACCAGAGGACCCAGAGAAACCCTGTCTCCATCCGTTTACATGGAGACTGTCCGCAGCTGGACTCACAACTGTGACCTAAACCAGGACCTCTGACATCATCCCTGACACATCCCACTGTCTCAGACACACACACACACACTCACGTAAAAACCCTGAAGGAAGTGATGAGATTTGGAACAGTGGTTACTGACGGATTTGTGGGGAGGGTGGGGAAATGTGAAAATGGTGAGGCGAGGCTATGAGAAAAGGAAATGTCTGCGTTTGTCAACTAGCTAACAACTGTCTAGGCTTACGGTCAAAGAAGTCACATTCCATTCTGTCGACAGCATGAACTGATGCCTAAATGCTTAGCACAAACTAGGCCTAATCCCAGTTTGGTTTTATTCTGTAAAAAACACCTGTACACAGTACTAGGGCTGAACGATTAATTGCATTCGCGATAATATCGCGATTTGACTGAACGCGATTTTCTAATCGCAACGTGCGCGATTTGAGGTGGTCACGTGACGCGACTTTTCATGCTGTCCAGCGCAATGGCCTCTTGCTCGACGGAACAGTCAGAAACTGACACAGCTGATACTTTAATATCGAAGAGGAACAGCACGTCGGTGGTGTGGAACTATTTTGGTTTTAAAAAAGAAGATGCTGAGCAGCGTCAGGTGTTGTGCAGAGCATGCCGTGCTCCGATTGCTACTTCACGGGGTAACACTACAAACCTGTTTCAGCACTTAAAAAAATACCACAAATCAATGCATGACAGTTGTATGACCAAAATGCCGAGCATCAGTGCGCGAGACAAGCCAAATACCTCAAGACAGGGATCACTGACAGAAATGTTCGAAAGTGTCACTCCGTATGAACGTAATTCAAAACGGCACGGAGAAATCACTCGGACAATAACCGAGTTCATAGCCAAAGATATGATGCCTCTCAGCACGGTGACCAAGCCTGGGTTCATGGCATTAATACATACGCTTGATAAACGTTACAGTATACCCTCCCGCACATACTTCAGTCAGACTGCCATACCGGAGCTGTACAAAAAGTGCAAAGAGAAAGTCGCCGCGGAACTTAAAACGGTGGAGTTTTTTGCTAGCACTACTGATATGTGGTCAAGCCGCACAGCTGAGCCATACCAGAGTCTTACAGTCCATTTTATTGATGAAGATTTCAACCTCCGAGCTCGCTGCCTACAAACTACCTACTTCCCAGACGATCACACAGGGGAAAATATTGCAGCCGGCCTGAGAGAAGGGCTTGTCAGCTGGGATCTCCACGAGGAGAATCACGTCTGCATCACGACGGACAACGCGTCGAATATGGTGCTTGCTGCGCGGCTTAATGAATGGACGAGGCTCCAATGTTTTGGCCACAGATTACATCTTGCCATTGGTAAGTTATCGTGTGTGTGTGTGTGTGTGTGTGTGTGTGTTTGTGTGTGTGTGTGTGTGTGCGCGAGTGCGAGAGAGAGAGATGCGTCGATTAGTAAAGCTGAATATACAAATATATATAAATGATATTATATAAATCGGATGGGATTAAATAAATTCATACTTCCACTCCTTTTCTAATATGTAAATTCATTTTACTTGCTTATATCATATGTCTGTCTGTGGTGGAATGCCCACCTGCATTTTTTTTCTTTTCTTGTTTTTGTTTTTTACATGTTTTTTTAGTGTTTATGAGAGAGAGAGAGAGAGAAAGAGAGAGAGAATTGACATGCAAATAAAGACCCTTTGAATTGAGAGAGAGAGAGAGGATGTGTTGTGGATGTGTGTATTTCAGAATTACAGCTAATTTGAGTGTGTAATAGTGAGAGCCTTGTATCAAAACTCAAATTGTGTGTAATACACTACTTTTTATTTCTTTTAGAAAATGCACTCAAAGATGACAGAGTGTCAAGGGCAACAGCACTGTGCAGGAAGCTGGTGGGGCACTTTTCCCACAGTTGGAAGAAGAAAGCAGCCCTGACGGAGGCACAGAGAGAGCTCAAACTCCCTGAGCACAACCTCATAACGGAGTGCCCAACAAGATGGGGTTCTAAAGAAATGATGATTGCCAGAGTGCTTGAACAGGCCAAAGCCATTTCTCAGGTATTGTCTGGAGATCGATATGCACGCTCCCTTATCCCAACCTGGCAGGATATTGACGTGTTGGAGTCGATTCACAAGGCACTGCATCCTCTACTGGAGTTTACTGATGCTCTTTCTGGAGAGGAGTATGTAAGCATCTCCTACCTCAAGCCAGTTCTCCACCTTTTTGCCACATCAGTCCTGGCTGAAGATGCTGAGGACACTGACCTGACTAAATCAATAAAAACCAAAGTCCTAGCATACCTCAATAACAAATATGGAGACCCAAACATCCAGGAGCTTTTGGATGTTGCCTGTTTCCTGGACCCTAGGTTCAAAATACAGTACATCAGTACAGACAACATCCCTGCTATCAAGACTCGTCTGAAGACAGAGATAGTAGACTTGGCACAACGTACATATCATTGGGTAAATAATTATGTATTTCACAAAAACAAAAATTTTCTGTAAAATCTAACTGGAAAACTAATGGCTGTTGTTTTCATCTAATAGGAGAAGAGGTCTCGTACTGAAACTGTTCAGATGCCTCAAAGTGCACAGTCCTTGGGGGAAAAGACGAAGAGGTCTCTTGGCAGTTTTTTCAAGACCAGTTCAGCCTCTCCTTCTTTGCCTGTAAATCTTGAAGATGTCGCAGAGGCAGAGATAAACAATTACCTGATGACTCCTACCATTGATGGAGAAGATGATCCATTGGCTTGGTGGAGGGTGCACAAGATCAGCTACCCACAGTTGTGCACCATGGCACGCAAGTATCTTTGTGTACCTGCTACAAGCGCTCCCTCAGAGCGTCTTTTTAGCACAGGAGGGAATATTGTGACTTGCACTCGCTCAGCCTTGAAGCCAGAAAAAGTCAATATTCTGGTTTTCTTAGCAAAAAACCTGTGAGCCACTGAGAACAGAACTGTTGGATAAGTATGGCTGGCAGTGCCATACTCGTAGTGAACTTTAGTCTGTGTGGTGTGTTATTGTTGTGTACTTGAGATAAGTGAGGCTCATCTATTTTATATTATAATATTCAAATCGTTTATAAAAAATAGTTTGTCTAAATTAAAAGTGCATTTCTCATTTTTTATTTATAACTTTATTTACTTTGATTTTACAAAATATTTTCAAAGCAAATTCCTTGTTTCAGTTGTGTGAAATGTTACTGACTTGGGAGCAGTAAGATACATACAATTTAAAATTATTTTTTTCTTAAGACTGTACCTTTTGCACACAGTGTTTACAAAGTTCATGCCTTTGTTTAAATTATTTAAATGCACAGTGGCAAAGCCACAGATGTTTCTGTAATGAGCAGTTCAATAAAAATGTCATTTATTTCAAGTCATACATGTTTGAATTTAATTCTAACAAATAGACCCAGCCTATGGGAAAGAACATTTCACACTAAATGTATATACTATTGTGTTGGTCATATTTAAATCATTCATTATGTTTTGTAGGGGAAAAAGGATAAATAAATTAAATCGCATATTAAATTGCAATCGCAATATTGGGGGCAAAAAATCGCAATTAGATTATTTTCCAAAATCGTTCAGCCTTACACAGTACATATGTTTCCTAAGGAAGAGATGCTATCCACCGACTCCAAATGAAGCGAGGAAAAAGGAAATGCATACCCAAAATGTCAATTCCTTACAGTTGCCGTCCCATTCCTAAGATGCTTATGATCTGACAAAGCTGCGTGAACATTAACATTCCCCATTCGAAGGCCAAGACTCATAATCTGAACTGAGGAAAGAACTGCAGCAAGAAAACAGGAGACTCACCGACAACCCAAGACACAAAGTGGTTTTGTGCAAAGATCAAACAACTGGAGTATCCATTCTGTCTAAGGCCCAACTAAAGGGAACTATGGCTAGCTACTGCATACAAACAATACAACTCTCCATACAAAAACACCAGACATTATTTAGGTTACAAATATTGTGACACTCACCAACTACCATGAGGGTGAACTCGAAGCCCTTTTTGACCGACTTGCGGTGCACCTGGTTGGGCAGGTTGGCAAAGCCCACATACCCCGGGGTCTCTGGGTTGGTAAATTGACCCTGCTGTAAAACATGAGAGAACATCACATGTCCATTAGCACCCGAGTCATTCAAACCAGGTATACCATCATTTTTACTGACATTTCCAGAGGCATGGGTTGTGGTTGCTAGGGTTGGGCGTTATGCAGATTTTCAAATCATACCGTCCTTCTCTCACCCCGGTTTAGTACACAAGGGGGCGCCAAAGAAAGCTAAAAAGTCAATTGGTCGTCTATTACCAGAATGCTAAAAGAATTAGCACAAGTAATAGCGAATTTCCATGGAGGCTGCTAGCTAAATATGCTAACGAGCACAAACAAAAATAAGCGAATTGCAAATGACAGGAATTCAGCTCATAAAGTTATACATATATAGGTAGCGAATGTTTTTTTTGGTGAGTTTGGACATTTACAAGCGAATGTGAACGAGAGACATTGTGCAAATAAACAAAGTTGACGCATGCAGTAGGCTCTCCAGAAGGGTCTACACACTGTGTCCGTGTGGAGTCTGGAGTCACTAGGGCAACGGGCGGCGGCCGGACCTGACTGCTCGAAGAAGAAGGGGGAGGTGCAGACAGCCGAGAAAAAACGCTAGGAAATCAAGACCAGTGGCAGCTGTACAAATAACTCATCCAAAAGGCTTTTGCCTTCTCAAACAGGCAGAAAGCGAACATAATATGACCTTATTAATTGAGCCACTTACTTAGATAGAAAGTTAAACTAGGTGTCGTGTTAACACATAATTCTGCGTTTTTCACACAGGAAAAAAAGATGACGCATAAGAAATATCTTGCTGCGTTTTATAAACAGATCTAAAATGCTTCTTATTGTAATTTCTGCTCGGCATCAAACTACATTTGTGCATCAGTTGCACTTCTAAACTCTGATGAGAACTCAGGAACGGGCATTCTATCAGTGTAGCAAGCCTATTTGCCTAAAAAGCTACATTAATTTTAAGCAAAACATTAGGAAAAGTAGCTGGCTACATTCTTTCTATGATAGGCCTAAACATTAGAAATATGATGGCCATGCATCGTTTTTGCTTTTTCATTGTAAGCACATTTACTTGTGTGGTTGCCAGCAGCGTTGCACTTCTGTTGTCATCTGATGTGTTGCACGAATGTATGTATTTTCTGGGAAGGAAAACTATAGTTGCACGTCCCTGATCACTCTATTGAAGCAACAACAAAAAATCACGATTTTCAATATAAGACGCGAACCCTGTCCATACACAGACAAACACGTGATTGGCTCAACAGTGCTGAGGAACTACGTAAGCTTCATAACATAAAATAATGTGACAGGTGAAATAAAAACGCGATCTGCTTCATCTCCTAACGCACTGCACAAGTTGAGTGCAGGTATTTACTTAAATTGCTACAAATATTCAAATGTATTGAAAAACTTCAAATAAATAGTTTCAACGGTATTGAAAAACCATCCTGTCGCTATTTCCAAATACCAAGGTATACCGCCCAAGCCTAGGTTGCCTGACAATCAGACTGTGATACCTCTGGTTCACAGTCTGAGTTTAACCGCATACATGTTTCCTCTCAAGCTCTACAAGCCAGAATGTTGAATAAAATTATATTTTAACTTATTTTACCGGTTGTCCATGCGGTTGGTCCTTTTGCAGGTAGGAATGCGAGACAATATATTCACAGGAAAGTATAATTAAATCAACTTTTCAAAGCGCTGGTAGAGCGTTCAGATTTCTATAACCTGAAGCATGCGGAGAACCATGTAAACACGTGCACGAGTTCAGCAAGTATGTATGCGTCCCGTGCATGTATTTTCATTTTGTGCATATGCTTCAGGTGATACAAATCTGAATGCACTACCAGCGCTTTGAAAAGTTGATTTAATTACACTTTCCTGTGGACAGATTATCTCACATTCCTACCAGCAAAAGGATCAACAGGTAAAGTACAATTTTTATTTTATTCAACATTCTGGCTTGTAGAGCTCGTGAGATTAAACGTTTCTTATCCAAACGCTCATTGATGCCCGCCGTATAATTCAATGCAATTCAACGTCGGGTCTTCAGGCTAGGATGGACCTACAGTATATTATAGTAATCATATCTGTGGGTTGTGCAAATCACAGCAAACATTACAACCAGCAATTAGAGGGCTACTCTAAAGAGCCAGCTGTACACGAATTACCTTTGGGTGAGTTAACACTGCATTCCAGTGTTCATGGCCCTAACAGGCCTGTACATAAAGAGGGAGAATGTGCAGTCTAGCTAAAGGGTTTCAAAGTTAGGCCTAGGCCCATCTTTTCAGCTTATAAACAGATGTAAGGAAGGAATTATTACACTACCTTTACATAATATAGCTAGACTAAGCTCATACGTTGGAAATGCAAAACCTATTATGGTTTACTGCTTTGTATGACTAGTGCTCCCCCTCCCCCTCTGTGAACAAGGGGCATGAGTGAGTGAAGCCTGAGATGGGAGTGTTTTCATGGAGCCTGGGGCCTTTCGACCCAGGTCAAGGCACAACAGTGAGTCATGGGGAAGGAGGCAGATGCCTGGAAGCTGGCAGCATCTGCTTGAGTGGCCATGCATTCTGCAATTAAGACTAAATGGTTTTAGGCCCAATGGTTTAATTCTAATAAATCCTGATTTGCCAAAGCAGATCACATCCTGTTGGTGTAGGCCTAGTCCAAATAAGCAGAGATAATTATTGGAATATTATGAGGGATCTGCCTGACAGTATTACATTAAATGAGCTGAGAGGAAGCGAGCATCCTCTTATCATACTAGGTCTGGAACTTACCTTAATTTTTTCCGCCTGAGACATTTTGCGCTCTTTCAACCTGCCAGAGAACAGACAACATTAACATTAAAAACAGATGTCAAATGTCAGGTACACTCCATGACCAAAACTATGTGGACACCTGCTCGTCGAACATCTCATTCCAAAATTGGGCATTAATATGGAGTTGGTCCCCCCTTTGATGCTATAACACCCTCCACTCTTCTGGGAAGTAGTGAGTGTTGCAACCGAGGACTGACGATTTTACGTGCTTCAGCAGTCCCGTTCTGTGAGCTTGTGTGGCTACCACTTTGCTGCTGAGCCGTTTTTGCTCCTAGACATTTCCACTTCACAATAACAGCACTTACAGTTGACCTGGGCAGCTCTAGCAGGGCAGACATTTGACTAACTGACTTGTTGGAAAGGTGGCATCCTATGAAGGTGCCACGTTGAAAGTCACTGAGCTCTTCAGTAAGGCCATTCTACTGCCAATATTTCTATGGAGATTGCATGGCTGTGTGCTCGATTTTATACACCTGTCAGCAACGGTGTGGCTAAAATAGCCAAATCCACATACTTCTGTAGATATAGTGTACTTCTGTTTTCAGCAGAACATGCAAATACTATATCAATTGGCCTATTTATTACTTAAAGAGAATGACAACTGTGTACACTAACAAAATGGAGGGTAGCATTGCCTACATGATTTAGGGGACTTTGAGAGACAGGAAGTCTGCTCTCTGCTCAGAATGACTTTTCAAAAGAATGTCTCACCACAAAAAAAAACTGACAGCCATCCCTTACAACTTTTTTTGAAGCTTTCACTTCACAAATGCATTTACGTTGCTTAAGCTGGTTTTGTCCAATTCAACTCTGTACTTTTATTTATCTAGCTAGTGACTTTTCTATAACTAAGTAATATGTTCAAACTGGAAATTATATTAAAACACTGCTAAGCTATTTCTTCCTACAGTTAGTGGAACATTTGACTTCATCACAAGTCAGCTGACAACAGACGGGCTCTTTTCTGAGGAGGCCAGAGAAATTGACTTGAAATAGTGCCGGGACATCTTTCTTTCAGAACTACTGAGACTGGGTTATGAAAGCGCTGTCTCAATGAATGAAAATACAACTAAGTTATATTGTAGTTACTTCAAATAATGCATAATTAGCTGTCTCCGTTTGGTTAACTAACATGAGTCTATCCAGACATTCAATCCGGCTTGAGATATGCCTCTATAACGTTTAAGTTAGCTAGCTAGCTAGCAATACCCAGAGCCATGTATTGATTAAATATATGGCTCTGGCAATACCTAGCCAGCGAACACATATTTCAAGTCGGGCTGTGTAGATACAAGCTATGTAAATTGTGATACATTTAATGGATTTCCAATGGTGGCTAGCTCAATTACTTTTTCTCCGGCAAGGTGTCTAAAAGCAAGCTTTGAAAGCTAGCTAACGTTAACTTAGCTAGCCAACCTTTTTGCTAAAGGCTAGCTAACAAGCTACTTGGGATGCGACAGGAAGTTAAAGCAACGTATCTAATTCGACGAGGCAGTGAAATATTACAACTTGCTAATAAATACAATACAATATTTACCTTTTCGATTGTCGGTGAAAGAAAACCGAGTGATTCTGGGGGCTGGATGGACACCTCAAATTCTTGAGATTCCGGTAGGCACCGAACCGTTTCTTCAGCACAGGGACCAGAATGCATTGGGCGTTGACTGTCCTCAAATAATGCAGTGCCTTTCCAAAATGCAGTGCCTTTTTATCAATAAAATCTATGACACTACATTTACTAGCTACCAAACTTTACAATTCATACTACTATTAATCTTCATCATCATCATCATCATCATACTTCAAATCACAAATTACATAGTATTGGTCAGTCTGATCCAAAGTCCTTCAATTTTAATAATCTAGAAAGCAATTTGCCAAAAGTTTGAATAAAACTGTAGAGTACACTACGATGATTACTAATGATATATTATATTAGGCCTACGTATAATAGCAGTCTATTCTTTTTAAATATGATTATAAAAAAATGGGTAACAAAGCATTTAATAAAACTGCCCAGTGCAAAATATGACAATGGCAAACTCAATAATCTGCATCACCAAAATCTGTAAAGGTCTGCAGCATCCAACCACAGACATCTGGCTCGAGATACCTGGATCACCGCACTGGAGGGGCATTTTCAACGCTGTGAATGAAAAGTAAGAATAAGGTAGTCTACGATTGAGCCAAACATATTGAGTGTGGGACTGAGTTTATTGTCCTGTATGGAGCACACTGTTTATGGCCAAAATTAGCCAACAGACTAGGCCTAGCTGACTATAAACACTATCTTCACCACCCATGCCACCACTTGCAGTGCCACATCATCATAAGGTATGCCTAAATTAATTTGATAATTATTAACATTATAGGCTTAAGGCCTAGCCATATAACTGTATGCTCAGGCTAGTCTGTGGCAGGAGGGCCGGGCCGGTCATGGCTGGAAAGGATACAGTTGATTTTATTTTTATTTTTTATTTGCATTTTAGCTAACATTAACCCCTTTCCTAACCTGCTAAATTAATTATCCTAACCTGCTGCGTAAATTCTCCTAACCTGCTTCGAAAAATCGGACAAAAGCAGTATCATTTATAGTCAAAACCAGGTGGGCCTCGGGTTCATGGCATAGCCAGAACTTCGTTGGTGGGTGGGCCTGCAGAAATGTGGTTTTAATGATTTTGTTGGGGGGGGAGCAGCTAACTTCCTTCAATTTTACACATTTTGTTGAACCAAACAACACAACAGCATTGTCCACAACCAAACATTTTTTTACAAGAATATTAGCTATGTTAAGGCAAGTTTGGTCCTCTGTAGCTCAATTGGTAGAGCATGGCTCTTGTAACGCCAGGGTAGTGGGTTCGATCCCCGGGACCACCCATACGTGAAAATGTATGCACACATGACTATAAATCGCTTTGGATAAAAGCGTCTGCTAAATGTCATATTATTATTAAATTGGATGAAATGGTAGCCAGTAAAGCGTTTTCTTCATAATGAAAACGTACATTTTGTATTTTTCAAGTTATGAATTTGCCGCCAAAAACCAGATAACTGTTTTCACGAAAACGACAGCTACAAATTCATCCTGTACAGCAAGGACTTCGTGTCTTCAAGGTTGGTATGTAGTTACTTATACATCAACATCTGCGGCTTTTGCAAGCGGCTCGTTGGTCTAGACCAGGGATCATCAACTAGTTTCAGCTGCGGGACGATTTTTTTCTTGAGTGGGTGGTCGGGGGGCCGGAACATAATTACACATAATTTGTAGACTGCAAATTCACCGCAAGAAGTCCAAACATATATATGTTATTTGACTAAAACATAATCATTTCAAACCTTGCTTACATTTGTATATGATCACATCGTATTATGCGTGGGAATAGTTGGGAAGAGATTTCCAAAATTAAAATAATTTGGAGCTGATTTCCTGGTGTTTTTACAGTGTTTTTTGTCAAACAATGAAAATGTCTTGCTCAGAAAACTTGTGGCCAAAATAAAACCACTGCTGGGCCAAATTCGGCCTGCGAGCTGCCAGTTGAAGAACCCTGGTCTAGACTCTAGGGGTATGACTTTTTTTTAGTTCTTTTTTTTTAGGGGCTAGATAAGCTTTAATATTGCAGATAGCTTGTGGGTTCTATCAATGTAATTGTCTGCTTAATTTCCAATCCCCCATATATATTTATTAGTATAGTATTTGTATATATGTTTTCCTTCTTTATTATTTTCCCCTAACCCTACCACCCCTCCCATAATTGGAGGAAACTAATGGACAACAATACTTAGGCTCCCACTTCCAGCTTATACATACTATATACATTTTACGGACACGGTATATTTTACATTAGTTATATTTTTTTATTTGTTTTTAGGCTGACCCTTCAGCTACCCTCAACCCCTCCCATCTATCTCCGAAAACCACCCAGTTTAAATTTCTAATTGCCATGTATTTTTCAACTGTGTTGTAATGTTTCACAAAAGTTCTGAACCTTTTTATTCTCATAGTTTCTACAGATTGTAAATGAAAGATTAACATTTTTACTAAGAGTATTATTATATTATTGCTAGATTGACTATGGCTTTTCAAATCACCCAGCAGTGCTATTTGGAGAGTTAGCTCCAGGTAAATGTTGCAATTCTTCAGCCATTCCTGACCCTGCGACCAAAAACAAGCTACATATGGACAGTACCAAAACAAATGATCTAGCTAATGATTCTGTATCTTCGCAGCAAAGTCTGCTGAGATGGAATGGTTGTATCCCCCATATACATAACATTATATTGGTTGCAATAATTTTGAATAATAATTTTAATTGAAAAACGTTTTAATTCGGCGTTGTTTTGTGTGTCAGTTCGTAAGCCATGTGCAAATTACGAATTTGCTGCCAACAAGCGGATAACTTTTCACGTAAACGACGGCTATAAATTTAATTCTGGACTGCAAAGACTTCCTGTTATCATGGTGGGTGTAGTTACTTATACGTCGGCATCTGAGGATTTTGCAAGCGGCTCGTTGGTCTAGGGGTATGATTCTCGCTTTGGGTGCGAGAGGTCCCGGGTTCAAATCCCGGACGAGCCCGTGTTTTTGCTACCATAGTCCCAGAGTTTCATCACAGACAGAAGGAGGTTAGTTATAAATGTCTTTGGTTTCATCTTTGATAGTTCTCACATTTTATTCAACATTTCCGTTTTGTTGTAGCAAAGCCATTTAAACTTTACAACCCTCTAACATTTCAGACGCACATCTATCCATGAATATATATATATATAGCTAATAATGTGTAATGAGTATATAATGTATATAGCCAAGTTATCACTACTCATTGTGTGTCTATTATTATGTTTATTATTACGTGTTATGACTGTTCTATTAAATCTCTATTTTCTTTCTCTTTGCATTGTTGGGAAGGGCCAATAAGTAAGTATCACACTGTTAGTCAACACCCGCTGTTTACAAAGCATGCGACGAATAAAATTAGATGTTTTTATTTGAATGAATCTTGATCTGTAATGTCTTCTATAGGTTTGTATTTGTATTTATTATGGTTGCCAAGGCAGCAGCTACTCTTCCTTGGGTCCAGCAAAATTAAGGCAGTTGTAAACATTTTTTAAAAACATTATCATACTTTCACAACAGATTTCACAACATATTAAGTGTGTGCCCTCAGGCCCCTACTCCGGTTGCTTTACTAATTATGTTGCCAGCCCTCAGCTCTAAGACTGAAAGTAGGCCTAATCACACTTGAACATGTTTTGTCTCAGAAATAACACAGGGATGGATCTAAACTCACTTTTTCCTACTTGATTTTAACGAATTACAGGCTCAAATGTAGTATAGGCCAATTAACGACTGTTGTTATACTGATCTCTTGTGGCCCTCTTCAGTACTACCATTGTGTGCAGTTAAACCAACACTGTAATGCCTGCTGCTGGTCCTTAACACCTTGCATGCCATTTTATTGCTCAGTACTAACCTCAGTGTGTGCATTGATTTGACTTGGTGTGCTTCTCCAACTTGCGTTTGTTTTCAGATTTACTTTCAGTCGTGTCTTAACATTTTTGATCATGTCTCCTGTCTTGTTGTTCAACATTACTCAGTTTACTAGGGAATCAGGGGGAAATGCAAGAAATATGCAACGGAGTGAGTACACAACAATGATGAGACAGAGGGAAAGTTTTGATAAAGAGGAGGATTATCAAGATTCTCCAGTCCCATATATTTTGCCTGTGTAGTGCTATGCTCTACGCTACGCTCTACCCAGCCCACCTCAGAAACAGGCACAATTAATATGTCATGTCCTGATTCCCAAGAGCTCTGGAGTGCCCACAGATAATCAGTCCTGGAACCAAATCCACCTACCTACAGTACACTCACTGCCATCCCATTGGTTGAGCAGAAGCATCCCAAAAAGACTTAAAAACCTCCACTTTCATGCCTGTCTATCTGCCTGTCCTCTCCCGGTAGGGGCTTATCTAAGCATACTGTTGTCATGGTGTCTCCCTACTCCCTCTCTTCTGGCTCAGTATGGCGCTTAACACGAGTACAGGCAATCTCAGTAAATACAAATCTCTCCTTACTGTCACAGCTAGCATATCATAGCCGGGGGGAACACTGTTTTCATTATATCATAAGCCTCTTAGAAGCGCCAAACTGTCATTTTAGGGGGTCATATTATGAACCTTATGGATATTGCCTCTTTCGCCTGTATTTGAAGTGGCTCTCCTCATACAGTACATGGAAACACAAATTCCTGTTCTACTCGGAATACGAAAGGGCTAATAATTCCAGTCATTTTAACTGGCCACTTATATAATCCCATTCCTCAAAGGGGAGTCTCACCTCTAAAAGGGGTAACCAGGCCGCTTGGAGGAGAGGGGTAGAGGAGAGGGGTAAAGCTGCCAGGCTCAGGCTGGTACCTGGAGGGCAGATTGTTTCTGTTCCCCCCTGTGTGTCCTAAAGGAAGAGGAAGATGGTAGATAAATGTCTGTCTGGAAGTAACAGACAAACAAGGTAAGTTGGGGGTCCTCCTATCTCCCCACACCCTCAACCTTGATCTTTCTCTTCATTCCCTCCTTTCTTCTTCAGAGGGAATGGCGCTCTCTCGCTCTCTTTCTCTCTCTAACTCTCTCACACATGAACACACTGATTAGAGGAATACTTGTATTGCT